TACAGCAGGCGAGGTGGGGCCTCTTGTGGGAAAACATCATCATTGCAGTCCACATTTTACACATCCTAATTTTTCAGCTCATTAATTTGGAAAGCTGAAGCTAGCTACAAACAAATGGACAGTTTAGTGGTTCCATCTTCAAATAAGAGTTTGCTCAGTGATGACTAATAATCTATAAATAACTGTGAAATCAGAAGCTTTGAAAACAGATTTTATTTATTTCATATAAAAAAAAAATACAAAAAAACAGGTGCTTCAGGTACTATTCACAGGGACAAGAGCTAGCCTGCGTCACAAACATGATCTTGTTGGGGAACACACTAAGAGTCACCACATCTTCACATCAAAACCTCAGTAAGTTCACATCTATGGCATATAGAGGCAGGCGTGTACAGTTACCCACCAGCAGAGGCCAGGGTAGGCCTGGGACAAACCACCAAACCCTTTGCACTCCTCCTTCCCTGCTATCCTCTCTTCCTACATCCCCAGTTTCTTTCCCCCCCTTTCTCCTTCATGGTTTTCCTTTATTCAGTCTTCTTTCTGACCCTCCGTGTCCCTGAGCCCTCCTTTCCTGATTAGTTCCAGACGTGCCACTGAGCTCTTCTTGCCGACTCAACATTCCACAGCTGGAGACTGCTCACACACACACTGAAACACACATACACACTCCTCCTCCCTTCCCCCCTATCTTGGTCCAGCTCACAGAGCAAAAAGGGCTGTTTTTTTTTCATAGCACCTCAGTGAAATACCAAAAGCCTCAGAGTGAAATGGCTCCAAAGCATTCCTCCGAGCAGGAAGAGAGAAATGCGCTCAGGGGCGAGAGATGAAGCAAAAAGAGAAATGTCTGAGAAAGCAAATGAACTCTGAAAATCTGGTCATTATGCTACACAAATGAAAACTCTAACAATGACATGTAAAAAGATCATAAGGAGGCTTTCTGTTACAAAAGAGTGAATTCACTTTAAAAACATTCTTTGGCTCTATATATACAAAGTCTCATTCACATCTGGGATGTTTTCCCTTGTAGGTGAATGAGAGTTCCAGGAGTTAAAATCATAACCTAAAAGTAGGAAAGTTTCCAAATGTCTTTACCAGTTGTACTTGAGTCAGAAACCTAATGAAATATCATTTAAAAGATAAAAAAAACTATCAAATTGCTAACCTCTTCTCATGGCGGATACAAAACTCCAGATGGAGGGAAAACAACCAAAGGTTTGCAAACACAGAGCAGCAATGACTAGGCAGGGCAAGCGGATGATTAGATCAAGATAACAGCAGAAAGTGCCAAAATATACACAGAGCTATGGAAGCTGAAAGTCTGATCATATGATGACAACCTCTAATCCTGGTGTACCAAAGCAGTGTGTAGCATAGACAATGTAGTCTACTTAAACACCAGCTTTCAGTGCCAAGTTCTACTTATGTGCACAGTTTTGGAGTATTTCCCTCAGACAGTTCAAGGTCACTGGTCCCTGTCACCTTCCACACATTCACTTTTCTTCTTCCTCCTCTGCTCGTCTGACAGCTTGTGCTGACGTGTCGGCTCGGAGAGGAGGAGAGAGGCGGGCTCACTAAAACCACACACATCACCAGCAACACTTCTCTGCAGCTGCACAGATAAGGACAAATCAGTGGGAAGGACATGAATGCAATGAAACAACAAAGACACTCAAGTTCAGCTAAATATCATCACAGCAAAAAAGAAAAAAAAACAAACAAATAAAAGTGGAAAAAATGAATTTGGTCCTGAAGAAGACTGACCATGCATTTAGTGAACAGAGACAAATTGTTTTAGTAAAAGTAGATCTGTGACGTTATAGTCTTTCTTTGGCTTTAAGTCTTTCAATCAAAATAGGAACAAGAAAGTAAATAGACACCAAGCAAAAATGTATTTTGGCACGCGGGAAAACAGTGAGGAGTCATTTCATAAAACTGATTTTATGTTTAACTTTTTTAGCTGTGACAAAATTAACTCCCTGTAGATGTATTTATGGCTTTCTGGGGGAGTATGGAATGATCTGATTTGTCTGGAGAGAAACTGCTAGAACTGTTAGGTCTTGGCCAAAGAGGACTGAAAAGGAGGGGGTTCAATTGAAAAACAAAATATCTGCTGCGCTCTACACAGTTGTTCAGCACTTTCGAAATTTTTTTTTAGTTTCAAAAGAGACAACAAAGAACATAAATGCCACAAAGTGTCTCCAAGTTAGCACACTGAAATTAGCCTCTCGTGTGTCAGGTTGGGTCCAGTCCCATGGGTTGGTCAGTCAGTCGTTCCAGGGCGGCTCTGCTACTCCGGCTGCTCATTCAGTTCCATGTCAGACACCAGGATGTTCTTCTCAGTCTGCTCAGCAAGGCCGGAGTTGGTGCGGCTGTAGCGGGCTCCCTCGTAGGAACCGTGGGACCCAAGAGTTCGCCGGCGGTACATGTATATAGCAACGAAAATCAGCAGCAAGACCGTCACCGCGACGAAAATCAGAATGGGGCGGTAGTCATTACCTGCTATATACAAATAGAGGATCTAGATTAGCATACATGATTCACAAGTAAAAAAAAACAACTAATATTTGCTAAGTTTCAAATAAAGACTAACAATTATTATACTTACACATTATATATGAGGTGTCAGCACCTGCAACTAGAAGAAAGGTCAGTTTGTTAACATGGATTGCTTTAACATTTAGGAATAAACTGAATTGTACTTAGACTTAGCCCTACTAGGTGATTTCTTAAGTTGGTCCACCCTGTCTACAAGGCTGTTTCACTGCTCATTTATACTCTCTAAAAACAATAATCAATTTACACTGTACCAGCTCCTGCATATGAAGCTTCTTTAGGATCAGTGAAACATTATAAATGATCTATTTTGTTCTAGTGTCACTGGCTTTTTGAACTCAAACACAACTGACACCACTGGACCTGGCCAAGAACATTACTTCCCCTTTATCTTCAGTGATCTTGGGTGTGTGCTTACTGCGTGGCCGTTTGCAGATGACTCCATGTGTGCGGTTTTTGCAGGAGCCTGGCTTCCACAGGCCACTGTTGCTCTGGATCCAGAAGCACGAGTTTGGAGACAGAACAGAGAAGGCAACGTTGTGCGCTTCCCAGTTGGTGTATGACATCTCTGTGTCCTCACTCCACACTAGACCTCTACCTGCGGCAGGAGCACAAGCACACACAGTTAGTGAAGCATCCAACACTCCCAAGCAGAGCAGTGTCTTCAGTTTGATCTAAAGGAGAACTAATTCATCATACCATGTTTGGTCTGACATCTCTGTCCAGTCATAGAGGCTTCCCCTACTGGAGTTACTCCTTCCTATTAGCTTACTAAGCATTATATTATATTCTTATTTGTTATTCCCATTTTATAATCGCATATCATATTTTATTTTATGCACACTTTATCACGTTTATCCAGTACAGGAGAACGTATTAAATTGGGGGAACTATCTAAATTTGACTAAAATGAATACGCTTTGATTTCTGAAAAGCTGAAGGTTAATGAGTCTGCTGCTGTAGAGAGAGTTGGAAGGGACTGTTTGACCTTTCACACTGATGCCCAGCCAAGCTCCATGTGCCTGTTCTGCATAGCTCTGGATGTGTTCCCATATAAATCCATTTTCTGTCTCATCCAAGATAGAAAGAAGTTCTGCTCCCACTAGAAGAAACAGAAAAGAAGAAACAGACAAAGATGGAACAAAACACAATTGGTTGAGTAGGGTTATTTAACAATGGGGCAGCAGGCTCCATAAATCAATTCTAAATTTAGACATATTGATGCTTTTTGTCAATGATTTTTGCAGGGGAGTTGTACTTAATTGACTTTCAGTTCAGTGACAAGGGCTGTACAGGCAGCAGGGCAGGAGTGTAAGACGGGTCGAGGTGGAGGAGCTGTGGGGGAGCTTCTGAAACTCTTTCCTACCTTTCTTACAGGACGTGTGTGCATCCTGCTGCAGTTTAAGTCTTTGCAGGTTGAAGGCATAACAGTGGTTTCTGAAAGACACCCACGCCCACTCTCCTAGAGAGTGGGGGCACTGGCCAGGGAAATTCCACTGGTGCGTTACAGGTTCTTCTGGCAGAAAGAACAAAGACAGAAATGAACACATTATTCTAAATTAATGCTGAGATGCTAACAATAAGGTGTTTTCACTTGGATGTTACACTGCACATCATAGCACTCTGCATCTGCATGGACTCCTGGTGATTTGTAACTGTGCAGCAAAGTACTGTATATTGTTGTTATATTACACACACATACCACTAATTTGACAGAGAGCAGCCTCCAATTTAGTATCACACTTTGTAGTCATAGTCCATTGCCCAGTAAGGGTCATATGACCACAGCCAGCCATCTGAAAGGGCTCCCCATCTCTCCAGTTTGAATAGGACACTTCTTCTTCACCCAGCCAGGTGAAGCTCCGCCCCTACAAATACATATGTTTATATATATATATATATATGTTTAAAAAAACATGAAATGCAATGCAATGCCAGTTCCCCTCAGCCTGGAAAACACTAGTGAATCCAGTAACAAATTATAGTAACATATACAGCAAGTGAATGGGCTTACTCCATCGTTGTAAAGTGCAACCCAGGCCGGCCGGCGCAGGCTGTTGATCAGCAGCGTGAGGTACGCCTGTTGGTAGGGGTCCTTTACTATAGCCAGGGTCCCATTCAAAGATTCACACAGGTGCAGAGCACCAGTCCAGTCCAGGGGCTTCTCCACCACCCGGTACATCACTCCACCCAGCTCTACAGGCTTTGACAAGGAGGCAGGAATCAGGGGAGGTGCCGGAGGGAGACCTTGGTCTGAGACACAACAAAATCAGACAATTTAATTTACTATAACTTAACACTCTTCACTTTGTGGTGCCCTCTGCACTTTTAGAGTAAACCTGAATTTCCCTCGAGATCAATAAAGTATCCATCTATCTATCTTGTCATGGGTGTTACTGAATATCACACCTTGTTGACTTTGACAGATGAAGCCATTACTTTCCATCTCACAGGCTCGGGAAGCCCACATGCCCGTGTTCTTCTGTGGGTTCCCATGAATCATCACCACACAGTTTCCCTGAAAGGTGACAGAGAAATTATTAGAACAAGAATGGATCAATAACAACACCATGACGACAGGTGATAGCTGTACCGGGGTCCTGTTGTGGTGTGGTCCGCTGTTGTCGAGAGGCTCTCCAGGAGCCCAGTTGGTGTAGCTGAGCAGGCCAGCCTTGGTCCACTGGAAATGACCTTTAGAGTCTGAGGTCAGACCTACCCAAAGGTTAACACTGACATTGTTCAGCAGAGTGGTGACAAAGGCTGTGAGGAGGAGGAACAGTTGCATTTGTGAAGAGATACTTCTAAACAGTTATAAATATACACAGAGGAAAACACAAACAAGAATATCTAAACCACCCACCAGCTGGTGATAAATAGGCAAACAAACCCTGTAAGAACACAATTTTTTGATTCTTATAATGTACTATGACACACTACATCTATTTAATGCTACTCAAAATGACAGATTATACAACTTTACATTCCAAAAACAAAAGTAACCTACATTCAGCACAAATCTTAACTGGGTCTAGCTTCCACCCATATGCTGCTGTAATTACCTTGCTCCAAATGATTGGACACCACTGCCAGTACACCTCTCTGTGCCTCACATTTCAGCTTGGCTGCAGACCATGTGACCTTGTATGACTGATCAAACACTCTGAAACACTACAGAAACAGCACCACATTTAAAAAAGACTGCCCAGGTTGAGTTAGGTGCATGAAATAAAACATTAGATACTTACTGATTACTTGCTAAGCTAGAGTACTGTTATGGCAAAAATAATCTTATCAGGATTCGGTGAGTGCAAAATAAAACTTAACTCTTGAGGTTGATGCGCATTTATTCCTGCAGGAAGGAGTGAACTCTCACAGAGTGTCAAACAACAGTCTGAAGGAGAAGCTCTCTGAGTGGAGAGCTGCATTTCTTTTTATACATAGACATGAGTGTTGGTTGTGGTTTCAGTCAGTTGAGGTCATATGCAGGTTTAAGGAAACATCTGTCACACAGCAAAGAAGCTGTCTGGTTTAACATCCATACAAGGGCGTGCTTTTCACTGAAGATGCTTTGACAAAGAAGCCAAGATGCTGATAAAGATGCTAATATTAATTTTTCCATCACACTACCTACATGGTATACTCTACTTATTTGATGTATTCTAGACATTGTGCAACTAATATAATAAATCGTGGTTTGTTGCAGCTTTACCTTATGCTGATAGGAAGACCATCCATCAGGACAGCCCGAAGGTGGGTGGGGGGATGCTGGAGTTGGAGGAATGGTCCCTGTGACATTCACTCTCTTACAGATATAGTGCAGGTCAGAGTGGCACTTCTGATCAGCCCACTCCCCTGTTGAGTGTGAAAAATACAAGCTCATCTATGTGTACTTTGACTTAGTTTACTTGAAATTTCTTATTTGTGGTGTCCTTACCTTTGCTGGCGGATATGTAGATACATTTACGATCACGGCTGAGCGGGCGTGGGCTCCCAAGAGTCCAGGACACATAGTTGAGTACAGAGTGGTCAGACCAGCGGAAACGGCCGTCATTTTCGTAGGTGTGAAGCCCCAGCCACCAGTTGTCACCCTCCACCTTTACCATCTAAAGATGACACATAAACTGTGAAGAAGCATGTCAAGGCCAGAGTGATTCTAAATATCTAATACTTGTCTATACTGCAGATTATTGCCACAGCATTACTGAAATTATACAGTTATATAATCCTGATAGCGCTGGGCAGCTTGCAAGACAAAAGTAATCAACCACACTTTTGGATTAAATCAACTCCTAAGAAATATGATGAACATTTTGATAAAGTGGGCAGCATGGTGGAACAGTGATTAGTGCTGTTGCCTCACAGCAAGACGGTTCCAGGGTTTGAGCCCTGGCCGACCGGGTGCCTTTCTGTGTGGAGTTTGCATGTTCTCCCTGTGCCTGTGTGGGTTCTCTCCAGGTACTCCGGCTTCCTCCCACAGTCCAAAGACATGCAGCTTAGGTTGATTGGAGACTCTAAATTGCCCATAGGAGTGTGGGTGTGTGTGGTTGTCTGTCTCTAAGTGTCAGCCCTGTGATAGACTGGTGACCTGTCCAGGGTGGACCCCACCTCTTGCCCAATGTCAGCTGGGATTGGCTGCAGCCCCCTGTGACCCTCGTTAGCAGTATAGATAACTGATGGATAGATTTTGATAAAGTGTGCCATGCCTTGCGTAAAGTGTTGGCCAGGAAAGCCTCTTCCTCAGCTGAGTGGACAGAGGCCAGCGAGGAATCAAACCAGGAGCAAATCCTCCGGGCCTGCTCCCAAGTGGTACGGTGGCCAAAGAATTTATACTCAGCCTCCTGGAAGCCAATCCATTCAGGTGAACTGGTGCCTGACAGAAGAGCG